CACCACCACCGCTTGTGCGGCGGGGGCGATGGAGCCGCACACATCCTCCCCCACAGCAGAGGCAGGGACTGCCGTCACCACGCCCAAGGGAGGAGATCGCCTGGACGCACCTGCCCGCGGCTCGAAAGACTCACAACGCACTCACTCCTGCTGCCGAGGAAGGGTACGTAAGCACCGCGCGTACGCACCATCAATGGATCCCGACTGTCTGTCTGCCTGTCGGTCTGTTCTGACGTCAGTCGTATGTCATATATATAGGTGATTTCAGCGCGTCCCCTGCCGTCGATGAAGGTGGCAGCCCTAAAAAGACACGGCCGTCAGAACGGTGCGAAGAAAACCACTGATTGACACACTGGCAGAACCACATACATCCATACATACATACCTCTGTATCCATTCATTCACTGGTCCATGTGTGCTGTGCTGTGGTGTTGATATATTCCTTTGCCCTTTGTTGATTTGGTTTGCTTCAGCCCCACGAGTTTTGCTGCCCCGTCTGTGGCCCCAGCCCCCCTCGTCGGCGGCCCCCAACATCGCCACACGTGAGGACGAGTCAGTTCGCCACACGTCCCGCGAGACATCCCCGGCAACAGCAGCCGTCTGTCGCCCATCGAGGAAAGCCCCATCGACAGCGACATCGTCAAGGAGTCCAAGCCACACGCATCTACTAACCGCGGCCCCGCCACCACAGTGCAGCAGATGGCGCCCTTCACCAAGGGCGGCGTCTCCGACCCTTGCGGACGGGCGAGAGGACCTCCTGCTCGTCGGCGAGTGTCCTCGAACAGCAGACCAGGAGGGCGGTGCATACTGGCGATCTTCTCTGTGGCGGAGTACATGTTCGACCACTTTCAGCGGCTGCTGGTCGACCTGTACGATGTCTTCTTCGCCCCCAATGACCACCACCACCACCACCATGCCAACCCACCCCAAGCAAAGTACTAAGTAAGCAGACCAGGGAAGGATGAAATCCACACACACACACACACACACACACATGATGGGAAATGAATTGTCTGTGTGTGTAGGTGGAGGCGATGGGCTGTCTGTCTGGCTGACTCGGGCAAGTCATTTCTTCGGAAGTGCGTGCCTTCATCGGCAAGTCATTTCTTCGGAAGTGCGTGCCTTCATCGGCAAGTCATTTCTTCGGAAGTGCGTGCCTTTAGAGTCCAGCTGGACAGCAGCCCTTCTTCGCCACCACTTCATCCATCCCTGGTAAGTGAAACACAGCGCGCACAGAGAGACAGAAAGACAGACCTAGCTGCATCTTGGATGAATGGACGGGTGCATCTGTCTGTGTGTGTGTGCGATGTGTTTATGAATGCGTTCAGGTCCCTGTGGCTCAGCGCGTTTCTGTCGGTCGGCGTCGTTTGGATGGATGGATGATCCGTCTGCTTCGGGTGTGGACTGGATGCTGCTGCTTCGGTCGTCCTCTATGGGCCGCTCCACCTTCCTCCCGATGCCGATGTCGGGCCGCTCCGACCACTCCAGCTGACGGTAGCGTAGTGCCGTGGCTCCTCCGTCAGGTGACCTGCCCGGCACGCCACGCCACGCCTGTCCATGGTGCCCCTGCGATGGACAGCGTCGCCCTGACCGGGCTGCTGCTGCTGCTGCTGATCCTGTGTCGCGGTGACATGCTTCTGGCGCCACGCACGGTGGATGAGGGGAGTGGAGTGTGTGCGTCAGAGAATAGGGGGCTCGATGGTGCTGGGCTTGCCGTCGCGGCCGGCCTTAATGCAGGCGCCGCCATCTCGGCCCCCACCGCCCCACGTGTGGAGCTCGAGGACGCCACCACTGTCCCGTCCAGACGATCTCCGGCGTGGCCCGTCGGAGCCGTACAGTACCACCGAGTCACCGCAGTATGGCCCCGCCTGCTGCCAAGGGTACCCGCGCCCGTTCGTTTGTGTCGACAGTGTGTCGTGTTGGTGGTGGATGGATGGATGGATGGGTGGTGTCAGGGGCCCGTGTGTGTATGGGTGCCTTATGCTCTCTTTGCCCTCTTCCAAAGTGACCTTTCTGTGCGGATGGATGGGCGCGTGAGATGCGTGTAGAGGTGTGAGCGTAACGCCATGCCTGTGTGCATCCATGTCGAGTTACTACTGCTGACTGACTGATTGACTGACTGCGTATTTATTGTATTTTTGGTCCACGGTACGGTTCATTCGACTTACTAACTCCACTCACATGTATGTATGTCTGGTATGTTTGTATGGCCATATGTATAGGCAGGCTTACCTTACTTACTGCAGGCACCCACAGACTCACTCACAGCATGCTCCTCTCCTGCTTTGCCGGTGTGTTTTGCTTAGCGGCCCGCGACACGGTGGCCATCCACCCACTCACTCACTCCGGCACACACATGCCGACCGACAAGATCGATCGATGCACACACAGCCTTCGATCTCTCTGTCCGCCTGTGCTGTTTGTTTTTCGTCGCTGGCCGGCCGCGTCGTCCAGCCTCCGCCCGCCGGACACCAGCACTTACTGAGGTGTGGGCCCATCCCGCCAGCACATCCCATCGACAGACAGCTCCTTGTGTCGGCGCACAGCTCATCATCTATCTATCTACCTGTGTTCATGTGATGTACTGGCTGCCTGCACTGGCCAGGTGGCTGGCTGGCCTAGTCAGAAGCCCTCACACATATATAAGTACGTATCCGTCTGTCTGTCTGTCTTTCTGGCAGAGAAGAGAGAGCATCTCAGTCACAACCAGCCACCTCCACACAGACACACACACACATGGTATGGTGTGTGCATCGGTGCGTATGCAAATGTGTGTGTGTGTGCATCGTGACCAGTGCAGTGATGTGTGGCACTTGTAAGCTCACAAACGGGAACACACATACAATATATACACCTACCTACTTGCTTACTTGCTTCGGACTGACTGACTGTGTGAATGGCTGGCTGGCTGCATGCCGGCCATGCACTGATCCCACTCACCCACCACCTACCTAATTAACCTGATTGCAGTCAGTGTGTTTATGTATGTATGTATGGTGGGTGCATATAGGTGAGTGAGTAGCTGACCTCGTCATTCATCGCTTTTGTCCTGCCCTTTGCGCCCCGCAGATGAATGACATTGTGCCATCGTCAAGCCATGACGATCGCCTTTCGTGGTACTCGGCATCGCTCTCCTTTTCCCATCCCGACCGTACGGCGGCGGCACGGCAGCCATTCATTTATTTGAGTAAATATTGGCGTGGCAACTTGGCCACCTCATGTGTGTGTGTGGTCCTTGATTGACTTTTCACAGCTGCCTGCCGCTGACAGCGCACTGTCCGGCCGCACTCTACACCGCCTGCCTGCTATGAGTACTTGCTTGCTGAAGCCCTCCAGCTGTACCTACGTACCACCCACCCACTCACTCACTACTGTCCATCCACCATCTCATGTAAGTGTTTTATGCAAATGACGTGTGACCGATTGGATGGACTTGTGATTATGTGGTATCGTATCTCTTGCCATGCCAACCTGTCAGTCAGTCAGTCAGTCATGTTCCTTTGCTCGCCCAACGGCCAACGCTCACGGCATACGCTGTCTGCTCCAGGAAGCGCCAGTCGTGGAGGCGCCAGTTGCGGCTGAGCGGGGGGAAGACAGGCGGTTGATTCCAATCCGTACCGTGGCCGTCGTGAACGCGTGGGAGAGAGAACTGACATGCATGGCCGTATGATTGGAATGGCGCCTTCTCGACCGTCTGGCTGTCTGTCTGTCTGTCTGTTGTGTATCTTGTTCTTGCCGGGATAAACGAGTGCCTGGATGGATGGATGGATGGATAAATGGGTGTGTGTGAATTGCATGCTCCTGCTTGGTTCGGTTAGCTATCATCGCATTGATGCTGATTCATTCCTTCATTTGTGTGTGGTGTGGCTGTGGCTGTCAACCGTTTATCTATCACTCACTCATGGAATGGCCGCTGACTAAACGTGTCAGGTGACTTGACGAGTGCACGACAAATACCAGACAGGCAGGCCTGACGAGTGGCTGCAGGGAGGTCGTGGGAGTGCGATGGATGTGAGTGCCGTGTGTGTTGTGCTGCTGCTGTGATGATGGTATGGCGCTGGTGGGTCTCGTTCACACATCATTCACGAGTGGACGAGGCCCACTGACACCACACCCATCCAGTCCAGACAGTGCGGCTGACCATCGAGACGACAGACAGACAATGGGTGGGTGGATGGCCTCGTGCATGCCGTGTTAATTAACGCCTTTCGTAGTCACAATCGTGTCTGCAAATTGCAAGCAAGCAGCGACACATAAAGCTAGCTGCAGCAAATATACATGGAAGTACTTCGATCATCACTCCCCCTCTCTCCGTCCGTCCGTCCAAACATCTCTCTGTGCGCACCCCTGGCTGCGATCAGTCAGTCAGTCAGTCAGCCCCTGCCGAGCCCCTATTAACACACTCACACGCACCCTCCACCCACCGACCCCATCTGCATGGCATGATTGGGAGAATCTTCCCGAGATATAGGTAGCCTGCCTGGCTCATGTGGCACTCAGACGCCTCCCCTTCTGTCGCCGGAAGTACACGGCACCCACAGAGGAATGAGTGAAAACAGTTCGGTCTGCCTGTTGCGGCTGTGATGCCGTTCTCACCTCGTGTGTATGGCTGCTTCAGTAGAGGACAACCAGAGGCACCTCTTAATCATCGTGGGCAGATCTGCAGACAGGGAGATGTCACTGAGGCGATGCGTGTCATCATGATGGTGTGTTGTGCTGGTGTCCACACACCTGGGCCGCTGGCGAGGGGAAGGACCTTGATATGGATAGATGAATGAATGAGGCGTGAACGACAGCAGCGAAATAGAGGATGCGAATTCATCAACTGTGGCCCTTTGATCTGTCCAAGTATAGGACCAGACACCTGCACCTCACCCTCAACGAGCCGAAAAGGGACACTTTTCTTGTGAACCTGCGCGGTTGTGTTGGTTTCCGCCTTCAGACTTCAGATCGGGAGGAGGAAGGCGACAAGCTCGCACGCGATCGTGCCACAGATCCGGGTTCCGCCAGGTCCCTCCCCCCCGGGTTCACAGATCTGAAGCGCCCGCCCGCCGCCAGGAGCCGAACTGATGCCTGTGACTGTTCAAGTGAGGCCAGGCGAGGTCCAAGTGACCGTGGAAGGGTGGCAGTGCACGTCCACCGACCCGCCGCCCGGCAACCGCCCCCCATGCACGATATGCGGCACGACACTGGATGCCAACGGGCGTTGCCCCCGCTTCGACAGATGCTATGCCACGCTGTACATCAAGATAGATGACGCCCGTTGGGAGGCCAGGGAGGTAAGGGAGAGGGAAGGCAAGCCACAGAGGGAAGATTCGTCGGACTCCCCCTCTGTCTATCAGGCCGCTGGACCCATTCAAGACGTCGAGGGATACATCTACGGACACCGCGAACCTCAGCACACCTTCACGAGCTACGCCGACCCTGGGTAGGTTCGCAACAGCACTCACTCGTCTTCTTTCACCCTTCCATCGCATTTGCAAAAACCTCATCGTGAAGGTGGTTGTTCCTCGTGACTTATGTGGAGAGCGTCCGCCACCCTGCGTGGAATCGGCCGGGAACGGTGCGCTTGTACAAGGACGTGCCCTACACCATCAAGGCCGTCGCCCATGCCGAAAGTCAAGCGGAGGCGGCCTCCGCCATGCGGATCGACGTCAACTGACAAGGACCGCATGCGACGCCGTGGGTGAGCCGCCAACCCCCGGGGGGTGACGCATGGGCACATGTGTGTACATGTGTGTGTGTGTGTGTGTGCAGATGATCGGCATTCTGGCGAATCTGATACAGCTGGGGCACCCACCCCAGAAAAAAGCAAGAAGAAAAGGGAAAAGGGGAAAAAAGGGAAAAGAAAAAAGGGGGAAAAAGAAAGAAAGAAAAAAAAAGAGAGAGAGAGAGAGAGAGAGAGAAAGAAGGGGAAAAAAGCGAGCGGTCGTTGAGTGGACACACGAACATGTTCATGCCATGTTTGTGTGTCCATTCAACGATGAATCAAAGCCAAAGCCCACCCTCCTACTTGGCGCTTCATATGGTTTCTTAACTTTACACCCAAACGGCCCTGCACTAGTCGGTCCGTTCAGGAGGCCCTCGTCATTCTGTGCCGGCCACACCGGTGAGTGCACTGCGCTTCTTTGGTCTACGTGTGCACGCGTCCATGTGGATTGCCTTGTGGCCGTCTTTTTTCTCTTTTGCTTCAGATGAAGGCGTCAAGTGTGTGCGTCGCTCTCTTCCTCGCCGTCCTCTGCGCCACGCGCGTGACGGCCTGGCGGGCCTCTGGCTCTGCGTACTTGGGCCGCGGCAGAGGCGGATTGCGAGGACCCGACAGAGGTGGTGGCTTCCCCGACTGCGAGAGGCCTCGGCCCCGGTGCTTCGTGTGCGGGGCTGGGATGAACCGGAGGCGAGATGGCCGCCTCAGGTGCTCAAATCACGACAGCCACTTCGTCACAGTGTACCACCAGACGAGCGCGGCCAACTGGGCCTCCATCCATGTAGGTAATGGGTGGGCAACGGCCAGGACGGGGCATGAGAGAGGGAGGCATCGGTTAATGATGCCTGGCTGCTGTGTTGTCTCTGTGTGTACGCGTCTGTCTGTGCGCGTGTGTGCGTATGTGCTTTGATCAGTCTGGTGGGCGCTTCCTCCCTTCCCCCGATGGCTTCGTGTACGCGTCGCCGATGCCTCAGGACACCTTCACCTACGCATCCAACAAGTAAGCAGAGGTGAACGCTTCCTGTCCGCATTGCACTGTGTGCGCGTGTGCGCGCGTGTGTGTATGATGTGTGTGTGTGTGTGTGTGTTGCAGGGGCATCATCGTCAAGCTCTCCACCCAGCGTTCCCACCTTGACTTCAGCTTCACCAGCCCCGGCCGCGTGCGCTTCTCCCCTCACAAGGACTACAACATCGAGGCATTTGCCGTGGTGTCCAACCGCGATTCCCTCGCCACCTGTCAATGGACCAACGTGCACATCCGCGTCCGCTAAGTCGGCCCGACCGGCGGGCGAGCGAGCGAGCGGGCGGGGCGGGAGCAGAGGGGAGAGGCACACACACACACACACACACAAAGCACGATCTCATCGTGTTGCCCCTCACCGCCTCTGCCTGCTGGCCCGCCCATTTCACTACTGTGCTGTGCTGTCTTTTCTTAACTGCATCTGCAGTGTCTGTGATTTGAATGTCATGTGTGTCGAGTGGTGTTATCATCTTCTGTTTGTCTGACTGGCTCTGTCTGTCTGCTCGTTTCTGTCTGTCGGTCGGTCGGTCGGTCACACCTCGCTTTCATTCACACATTCACTGGCTTTCGTTTCCTCTTGGTCGATGTCCATCCGGAGTGCCTCATGGCGTCAGATGATAGTGTCACCTTTTTGTCCGGTGTGTGTGTCATCTCGTGTCTGACTGTCTGTCTGTCTGTCTGGGCGCAAGTTCATGAATCAATCCGGTGGGGTCTCTTCACGTGTGGGTGGTGCTTACAACCTCTGTCTGGCTGCAGAAAACACCGTGTGGCCGCTGAACACCCATCTTTTGTTGTCACTTGCCGTTTCGTTCGCTCGTTTTTTCCCACCGTTGTTCGTACTGGTCAGCCAATTGTCTGAGAAGTTTCCGGTGCTGCCCTCTTTGGTGTCCTCTCTTCCTGTGCTTCCGAGGCCATCGGCCCTTTGCGGTTTCGACTGTTGCTGTCTCATGTAAGGCTTGGCGCTGTGTCAGTGTTTTTTGCGCTGTTTTGCCATCATCTATCGTGCGTTTTGCCACGTTCATGCGTCTTTGTTTATCAATCAAGGCTTTGTTGGTCCCGTTTCTCTCTCGTGCAAAATCTCTCAAACCGCTGCACCAGCAGCGGTTTCACCGATGCCCTAAGGTGCGGCGCAGACATAGCAGAACACAACAACAACATTAGTGCGAGGTCTTCACCGCTGTGAAGGAACACCTGTAAGAAGATGCTGTGGCTTTTTCGCCGAAGAGGCGCCCTTGGTGGTCTGATCTATTCCTACAGTACTGGTGTATTCCTGCTGTGGATGACTGCTGACGTGTTCCTTCTCGCAGGCATCTGGCTGACGAGCTACTGACTGTTTCTACAGTACTCTAGATCTATCGCAAATGCATTCACAGGGTGATAGTCCGTCACCCTTCCGCCCTCCTCGGCGAGGCGGTCCTCAGCACTTCCCGCAGCAACAGCAGCAGCAGCAGCAGTGGTACAATCGGATCAGCGAAATCGCCATCGAGCTCATCTCGGCCCATCGCAAGAAGACACCTTATGAGGATCCCTCTAATGAGGTCTTCTACCAGGAGCTGTGTCAGGAACTGGCGCGCAGCTTTCAGATAGATGATATCACACAGCTGGGTGTGAATCTCAATGCGGTGCATGCAATCAACGCACTCATGTGGCGGAACCAAGTAGGCAGAAGGGCCAAAATGATGCATGTGTGCAGAAGTAAAGGACTGTGTGCACACAAGTGTGTGTGTGTGTGTGTGTGGTGTATGCAGGTGAGTCGTGCAGCGACCGACATTGTTGAGCGCCGCAAGCAGCACGGCCAGCCGGCGAGATACATTGATGTCATTAGGGAGATATGCCAGGTACCAACATGCCTAGCCTCTACTCATATCACGCACCATGCTTTTGCCTCCTCGTTTCTGTCATCCCTCAGGCTTACGGGTTTGAGGACGCCAGTAAGCTAGGCGTGTGCCTGCCCACCAAGAGGGGCATGCTCCAGGGCCCCTTCTTCGTGCCAATACTGAGAAGACTGAGGGACGCCGAGGCCGACGTTGGCGACCTAGCTGAAGTCTACGCGTTCCAGAAGAGCTTCGGGAGCGTGACGGACTTCGAGCAGGCCGCACGCCGACACTTTGAGAAGCAGAAGCAGCTGGATCTCATGGAATTGCTAGGTTAGCATGGGAGGGAGATATTGTGAATTGCATCAGTAGGCGTGATCTCTTGATGAGTTGTTGTAGGTCCCTTATGGTTGCTGCCTGACGTGATGAAGGCGTTCCACTTGCCAGCGGCTCTACAGCGTGCCCCCACGGCGGTGGGCAGACAGCAGCTGGTCAAGCACTTCATCGAGTACTTCTATGACGTCAAAAAGAAGCACGGCTGTAAGTAACACACACTCACACTCACACTCACGTGAGTTTGCACATTTCCCCTCTATTTTCAGCGGACGGCAAGTGCACCAAGGACGGCTTTGTGGGGTGGCTCAAGAGGAAGGCGGACTTCGGTCAGGAGAACTTCGCCCATTTGGGTTTGGTCGTCAACGAGTCCCGCTTCCCATTTGTGGCCAAAGTCATCCTCACCACACAGGGTGAAGAGGTAAGCGCACGTGTGCATGAGCGGAGGGACTTCACAAACGCACTGTCATCATCGATTTTTGTTTGTCTGCCCAGGACAACAAGTTGCGTGAGGAGATCAAGAGGCAGATTTTCGGCGACCTGCGGAGAGCCACGACAATGGTACAACACATACTCGCAAACCCGCACAACGGTTCAATGCCGCCGTCAGACCCGCCCTGCGTTGTTTCCTTTCCTGCAGGTTGCCGCCGACCCCTCTCAGTATCAGCAATACGCGCAGCGCATCGGTCGCGAGTTTGCTGAGATGCTCCACGGGCAGCCGGACATGGCAGCCGAGCAGGCCGTCGCAAGGCTCGTCGAGAGCTACGTCTGCTCCCCTGCTACCTACTGTGCGCTAGGCGCCCTCCTCTACTTCGCCTACAGGCAGCAGCAGGAGCATCCGGCGAGCGTCAGCAGCCCCTCGATCCCATCCCACGTGCCGCCCTCCCTCCCGGCGTCACCAATGCCTAATCCCACGGCGCCGGCAGAGTCTTCGGGAGATCCCTCACTGCAGTCCTCAACTGTGTGCAACGGGCCTGAATCGGCAGAGCAGTCGCCCGTCGCCCTTCCGGGCCGAATGAACACCATGTCTGCTGCTGGCCCTGGTGGTACCGAGGGTGATACCGTTCGTCACGAGCAGACAAGTCGTGAGATAGTGAACCAGATGGCGTACGAGTGGCTCAAGTCGGCAGTGGCCGAGCGGGTGACCATGGGAGAGCAAGGTGCTGATCGGCAGGGGGTGGTTGGGTGGCTGTGTGAGCTCGAGAGTGCCGCAGCACAGCAGTTTCCTCATCTCCGCCAGGTGCGGCACCGCTGACACATCTGTCCTTCATGCCGCTTTGTGCTGTCACTTTTTGTGTCCTTTCAGGCATCGTTTTTGGCGTTTTTGTCTCAGTACAAGGACATCACTAGTCAGGTCGAGTCGGCATTCGCTGCGCCGCTGCCCTCTCAGGCCGGCGACGAGGTTCGCCTCCAGGCTTCCGACAGCACTGCGGCAGGCCCATCGCTGCACGAGGAGCTCCTCTTCCGTCAGCTCAACGCCCACGTTCATGTGTCTAAATTCGAGGACGAAGAGACGCAGAGGCAGCTCAAAGGTGAGACGATATACACCACATTGGTTCCGTGTACATTTGTGTGTCTTGCTTCCGTGTGCAGCTGAGGTCTTCGACCTGTTGTTGGCGTACTTGAGTGAGGTGTCGTCACCGCTGTCGTGGGGCGTGCTGCAGCGAGCCATATCCCACATTCACAAGCAGCTCACTGAACAGGTGGACGATGACCCGTGACGCTTGTCACACATCCACTTTGTCACTGCTTTGCTTCCCATTCTCAGAGTAAGCATGACGTTTTCGCGTCAGCGTACCCGCTTGGCTTCGTATCGTTTATCGCCGAGCACGAGAAGCCGCTCAGGGACAAGGGCTTCGACTTGACGCTCGGCCCACTCGACGAGCCTTCCTCGCTGCCCTCCATGCCGCTCGTGACTCACTTTCTGCACCAGCATGGCGCGGCCACGTCAACACACGGCCTGGATGCTTCTGGTGAGGCCGTCACGAGTGCTTTGTGCGCCGAGTTCAGGATTGAAGAGGTGAGCGATGATTGGTCTTCGGAAGTGATGCAACACGATTCTGTTTGTGTCTGTTGGTGCAGGAGGCGTGGCTTCGATGTGGTCCTGTCAGCAGCCTGATGCATATCGCAGAGGCCAGTCAGGACATGAACGACACGGTGAGAGCGAAGCAAACGACCAGATGGAGCAACAAGTCCATGCATGGACAAATATATATTACAGGCCCAGGTGGGAGAAGCAAGTGGTCTCGTGTTTGGCAGTCTGTTGGCACCTCCTCCCTCGACACTCGACAAGGTTAATTTACTCATGCACCGATGGAATGCTGGTCAACACAGCCATGTCTGTACTGCTGATGTGGTTGTGCCTACTGTAGGAGAGTGCTTGCTTGAGTGAGGTGGAGGTGATTGACCTGATTGCGTCGGGGAGGGTGCCTGAGCTCGAGAGCATCGGCAGTGCACTCCTGTGGCCACTCCGCTTGCAGCGGACACACGGGCCGCTAGAAACTTTCATCCTGAAGCACAGGTCAGAAGGTTGTGACGACCGCTAGATGGGTCTGTCCGATTCTCTTGTCATTGCAGGTCTGCCCTGGCTGAGAGGTGTGTGTCGGCGCTGCATTGTGTCGATCCCCTCACTGGCACCCGACATTTCGTGAAAGTCGCAATTCGTGACAAGGCCGACATATACAGAGCCCTGGAAGACCGCAATGCTGTCCACAAGCCAACGTGAGTGGTGCACACACGTCTTTCACCTATCAGCTTATGACTCCTTGTGTCGTTCTGGCTGTTCCAGGTGGCTGGCCTCTCACTTCACGTCCTTCCTTTGCGCCAATGGCGGAGTGCGAAACCTGACCTCGTCCGAGCTGCTGGCCAATTCCTTCAAGACATTCTGGGCCAACCTCAAGGCGGCATCACAACAACAACAACAGCAGCAGCAGGACGGCACAGTCAGCACGTCGATCCCGCTCTTCCAGCGCACTCTGTTTGATCTCCTACTGGCCCTTCCCCCACCCATCGCTATGTCGTCCGACATCATTCACCCGTCCTTGCTGGCACCGCTTAAGGCGCTCATGCCGGATTGGGAGAGGCAGAGCGACCCGTTTGTCCGCCGGCTCCCGCATGCGGCTCAGCAGCGGCTCTTTGCGGTGTCGTACGCGGTGGATCTGCCTGTGTGGATCGAGGCCTTGCGTGAGGGGGCTACAGCGGCCGATGATACAACGCACGTGGCTCAGGAGTTGTCGTATTCCAACAGCAGCTCGCACATGAGTGCGGTTGAGGCGCCCACACAGCGGCCAGAGAGCAGAACTCCGGCGGTGAATGTGAGAAAAGAAGACGGTGGGAGCGCTGAGCCGCCTGATGAAGCAGATGTGCTCGAGAAACTTCAGGCTCCCATCCAGCCATCTGCTTTCAATGCACAGCGACAGAAGTGCTGGTAGGGAGAAACACGTCACATGGCGAGAACAACCCCCATGACGCCGATTTCTTGTTCGTTTTCAGGGCTGTGATCGAGGACATCCGATCGAACCTTGATCTGGAGAGTCAGTTGCGGGACGTGCATATGTCGGCCGAGTTGCGGAAGCACGTCGAGCACAGCATCGACGAGGCCCAGAAGCGGCAGGGCAGGATGCTGCAGAAGATCAGCACCGACCTCTACGACAAGGACTTTCACTTTGTCTTTGAGGTGAGTCGGATGGTGAATGCACACACAGAGACACCGCACCGGGCAGCACTAGTATCCGTTCCCTGTCCTGTATGTGTGTGCAGCTGATTCAGAACGCGGACGATAATCATTATGATGATGGCGTCATACCCAGTCTCCAGCTCACCCTCTCTCAAGACGGCATTCGGCTGTTCAACAACGAGAAGGGCTTCGAGGAGAAGAACATTCGCGCCATCTGTGACGTCGGCTCGTCGACCAAGTCACGCAAGAGGGGCGAGAGCGGGCTCATCGGGCGAAAGGGCATTGGCTTCAAGTCCGTGTTCAGTGTCAGCAACACGCCCCACATCTGCTCGAATGGCTTCTCACTTTTCTTCGATGCATCCGATAAGCGGCTTGGATACATTCTGCCACATCACGGTGAGGGGGTGGAGTGATGGAGCTCGATACTGGTGCTGCTTACATATGTGTGTGATCTGATGTGTGTTCAGGCCAAGACCCCGTTGTGGAGCCGTCGGATGGTGAGCTCCTTTTCGACATCACTGTCGACCGCGAGACGCGCCTCAAGGCCTCCACCAACAGCTGGACGACGCTGATTGACCTGCCCTTCAAGGAACACAACCGCTACCAGCAGTCCTTCCTCGAGAAATGCGCCAGGGAACTCGGCAACATCCATCCGCCCCTTCTGCTCTTTTTGAATCGACTGCGGCAGCTGTCGATAGTCAACCGAGTCACGGCCATTCGCCGGAGGCTCGCGCGCCAAGACCGTGCCCAGCTGCCCACCTCGTCGCTTTGCCTGAGTGTCGAAACCGACGCGGAGATCATTCGTTTGGTGGAGGATGACGAGCACCAGGACTGGCTGGTCGTGAGGCAGCAGAGGATGCCCACGCTAACAGCGTGGCGGCTCAAGAGTGAGGATCAGAGCGAAAATGACGATGGGGTGGAGCCTACCGTCATTCAAGTGGCAGTGCCTCTCAAGGCTGACGGCGAAATGGACCACCAGCCGGTGTGTGCATACCTGCCTCTCACCGCTCGGCCGATGAAGATGACGCTGCAGGCCGACTGGACCGTCACGAGCAGCCGAGAAACGGTGAAGGAGGACAACGTGTGGAATCTGTGGCTCCGCGACGAGTTCGCATCCCTGATGGTCGACACCGTGATCGTCCTCAAGAGCACCATGGCCAGCGACAATCCGGACACCCACCTGCCCCCCGACTTCCTCTTCCGCCTGCTGCCTCTCTTCCCCGACCTGTCGGTCGACAGGAGCAGCTGGTACCGCCCGGTTGTCGAAGGTCTCCAGTCCCGACTCAAGAAGGGCATTGCGTGGGTGCTGACGGCCGACGGCGAGTGGCATGAGCCCTCCAGCTGCTTGCTGGTGCCGTCGGGCAGCCTCGATGATCTCATGAGCATCATCCCCCCAGCCGATCTCTATGAGTCGATGGGGCTCAAGTATGTGCATCGCGCCATCGCCCAGCTGCTCGAGCGACAAGGCAACATTGAGACGAGGGGGCGGCAGCTGGGTATGGAGGTCGGCTCAGCGTCGTTCTTCTTCAACTACCTGGTGCGACTTCACGAGGCGGGCAAACTGGTGGAGAAGCCCATCGACTGGCTCGGCAAGGTCTTCCTCATTCTACACGTTTCCATCGCCGGCACGCGTCACAACACCAAGGAGAAGGCCACCCACATGAAGCAGATGAAGGGGCTGCCGCTGGTGCCCATCCGTGGAGGACACCGCATGGCGGCCAACGCGTGTCAGCTCTTCCTGCCGCGATGGGAGGGGGAGCATGATGCCGAGAGGTTCTCTCTGTGGCGCAACTGTGGCGTGCACTGGTGTGCCGAGACCCACCAGTCGCAGTACGCCTTCGAGATTCAGCTGCCCACTGTCGACCCGGCGTTGTGGGCGGGGAGGGAAGACGATGAGAAGGCACGGATTGTTGAACTGCTCGGACGGTAAGCAGGTAGCGACAGGAACATCATGGGCGCACCGAAATTTCTGTGTGTTCTGCCACAGGTTTGGTGTGAAACACGCCACGGATGAGCTGTTGATCGCCTTCCTTGCGCAGCACCTGAATGACGAGCCGGACGCCCAGGTGAATAGACCACCAAGCAGACGCACCGACAAAGCACATCTCTCGTTGGTGGTGTGGTGATGTGCAGGTGTGGGCCAGCGTCGCATGCTATCTCCACGACCTCGGCGGCCACGAGTCTCTTGCATCGCTACCGAATCGCGACGCTGTCGAAAAACTCCTCGTGTCCCTTCGCCTCATCTGCACCTACCGCACTCTCAATCCACATGATGAGCTGCCCGCTGGACTGAAGCCGATCCCCACTGACGAGCCCAACTCTGACGTCCAGCTGGTGCTGGCCAGCCCCCTCACCTCGCCAATGCTCTTCTCGAAGACGCTTGATCCCACCGTCGATGTGTTTGGCCTTGAGCCCCCCGACGCGCCCATTGATTGGCTGCTCATCCACCCCGTGTACCTCGATGCCGGCGGGCATCCGCACAGGGACGACACACGCGAGAAGTGGGCCAGGTTCCTGCAGGAGATAGGTGTGCGGCGGTTCTGCTGGGTCATGCCACGGAGAGTTTCGCTGTTCCCTTCGGTTGGCGAGGAGGGTGGGCCCTTCGAGTGCATCACTCGAGCTGTCTGGCGACAACAGCTGTGTCCTCAAGGAGTGGACAGCGGTGCGGCCACTAGCACTATCAAGGACTTCCAGTGCGTGCCTTTGGAGCGTCTGCTGATGGCACTCCTTCCCTCGCCGGCCATCGAAGAGGCAGTCCGGCGATCCGATGAGGTGGATGCTGTCGGACTGACGGGCGGCCAAGTGTCACGGGAGGTGGAGGAGAGGCTGATGCGGCTCCTCTCCGTGCTGCACTCGTGCAAGGACGAGATCGACAGCGTGAGCACGGTCAAGTCCGCCGCCGGTGCGGAGCTTCACTCATCCTTCTTCGTCCTTCTTCGAGTCCTGCCGTGGCTCCCTTCGGACAGAGGAACGCTTCATCGGCCATCGGACCTGTGGCTGCCCGAGCGTCCGGTGGTCCAGATCTTCCAGAAATTCGCGCCCTACTTGGCTCGATCCGGGAGGCCGTTTGCCGAGATGGAGCCGACGCTGACTGCTCTGGGGGTGCAGAGCAGCCTCGACCACCCAGGGCCCGTGTTGTCTCTCTTGAAGCTTTGGGGCGCTCGTCCACTTGACGGTCAGGACGACGCTGGTGCCCCAATCAGGACAACTCTTGGGGTGATGTCCGGCGTCTATTGCCTGTTGGACAGGATGGAGGATGCCAGAGAGGTGACTGAGCAAGGAGACATCGTGCACATCTTCTTACCAATTGTCTGATGTGCTGCAGATTCGCGATTTCTTTGACAAACACTGCGGCATCTGGGTCCCCATCGAGAGGCCGTGGGCGAAAAAGAAACTTGACAAAGTAAGCCGTCACGGACGAGAAACGATCTCTAGACGTGCAACTGCGATATTTCCGCTCCGTATGTGTTGTTCCAGGAGTTTGACGGCGAGTGGAAGTCATCTGTGGAGACGTTCCTTATGTCTGGCATACCTGGCTACAACGAACGCCGACACGGCAGGTTCTCTTACGAGCAAGCCATGACGCGCTTCCGATTTCTTGACCACTACTACGAGATCGATCTGGCGCCGTTTTTTGAGAAGGCTGGCTGTCATCGCACGCCGGAAGACTATGCGAAGCCTGAGCTGTTGGGAGGGAGGTTGATTCACTCACCGGAGAGCAGGTTTCGGGAGGGCAGAGATGTAGTCATCGGCGAAATAAAACGGTACGCGGAATACGACAGAGTATTCACATATTTTCGTCTCCCCTATATCTACAGGCTCTTGGCGGAGCTCTCCACCCAAGCGCGGGAAGGCCACCTGAATCTTGATGGCAGACCTCAACTGAGTCGCGGTCTGCGTGAGGCAAGGTAACCTGCACATCAGCCAGCAAGTGGCCTTGGGACACAGTGTTCCCCCTGTGCTCTTCAGCATTTGGCGCGCATTCGATCACAACGTCGGCAACGTCGCAAAGGGCTTCGTCGACCTGACCCGCTACCGCGTCATCTTCGATGACCTCCTCGACGCCTCGGCGCCTCTCGACCCTGCCTTCCATCGACAGGCCCTTCAGCCGCCAAGTGACGCAGACCAGCCCATTGTCCTCTTTGGCGGAGGCAGCGCTGCACGTGATCGCTTGACTTCCGACGAGAACATGCTTCCCCTGCTGGAGGCGCTGGATGTGCCCCGCTTGTCCACCGTGGCGCAGCGGAAGATCGACCCCAGTGACTTGGCGACCCGACCCTTCATGCTGCTCAGACACGTCGGGCCCTCTTCGCCGCTTCTGCAGCCGACTGACGAACGCTTCTGCGCACTCCAAGTTGGTGACGTTGCCGAGCTGCTGGCGGCCGACGTGCTGGCGCTGTTGATCCATGCTGTGGAGGGCGCCCTTCGGCAACGAGTCGATCAGTCGGATAGCTTCTTACATGGCATTGGCCGGCGGGAGGAGGCCGACGCCTTTTTCGAGCGGACAAGGATGTGCCTCTGGGGCCTTTTGTCGGCCGACAACTGCCCCTCTGAGGTCGTCTTCTGCAGGCGAGTAAAGGAGAGCGTCTTCCTTCCCGTCAATGGGGCGAGCCTTCCTGTGACCACAATGGAGACATCTGTAGCGTGCGACGGTGCGAAGGTCTATCTCACCACGCCGAGTGACTGGGACTCATCACGACATCTGCACAAGCTCAGCAACGACGGGCTGCAGAAGTACCTGAAGGCCGTGGCTGGGCAGCTGACGGCCAAGGTGGTCGACGTGCTGGCGCGAGGCAGCGTGCTGCCACGGGGTAGCCCCCCAGAGCTCTGGGGCGACGTCGCCAAACACATGACGCGGTGTCTGCAAGCGATTAGTGACTTCGTCTGCACGGCATTCGACTCAGCCAGGATGAAGGAGAAGCTGCAGCTGGTGGAGAGCGGCAAAGGAGGTGACGTGACTTTCGTGTCAGGCGCACTCTGCGCCAAGCAGTTCAGAGACAAGCTACGAGGTGCCATCCAGCACACCTCATCACCAGTTCAGGTATGGAATCACAACAGGACGACGATTCACAAAGTTCTGCTCCCATTGCTTCCATCTCTTTCTGTCAGGCCCCCAGCCACTGGCTTGCGCCTCCGTCCGACGAGCCAGAGGTCCTCCTGCCCGCCAGCGTATGTCTTCCCACGCCCCTGCAGCGCTACGCTGACCTTCTCGCCTCCCTCGCCAAGCAGAAACACCCACAAGACGAATCCAGTGACAACGCCGCAGAGGCAGAGAGCGTCAGCGCGGCCTCGACCCTCAACCCGACAGCGGCTCCCTTCGACCCGCTGTCCCAGCAACCTCTGAATGTGAGTGTCGGCACACTGCTCGAGGGCCAGCTGCCAGAGGACCCTCCCGCCCAGCCAGATCAGAATGACGACAGGCCCAAGCGCCTGCCGAAGAGCTTCAAAAGACAGTATGGCAGCGGTGCAGTGGCTGACGTAGAAGGTGACCAACAGCCACGGCAACACCAGTCACCTCCAGCGCCGCTGGTGGTTCCTGAGTACGGCGAGGCGGTGTCCTTTGAGCTGTCGGCGAGTCATCTGACCAACCTGATGGACCGAGCCAAGAGAGGCAGAGCCAGGGGGAGGGGGAGGGGAGGCGGCAGTATCAGTCGGCACCAGCACGAGCAACATGACCAGCAAGACAACTTATTCCGTGATCAAAGCATCCGGAGGAAGATGCGGAGATCGAAGATCTGCCACGGGCGTGGTGGGGTGTATCATGGCATTGCGGACGAGAGGGACCTGACGCGGGAGCAAATGCAGCTGGGTGGGCTGCAGAAGCTCGTGCAGGACATCTACCAGGCCAACCACAGCAGCAAGGGCGAGACGGCAGTTGAACTGGCGGTCGATGGAGAGGACCCGCGAGGTGAAATCGGTCGTGCGGGCGAGAGGATTGTGTTCGAGTACCTGAGAGATGTGGAGAAGGAGGCTGGCCGTGACGAGAGCTGCGTGATATGGGTCAACGAGGAGGAGGAGAGCGGTCTGCCCTTCGACATTGTGGTTGCACGAGGATGCCCGGCCATCATGCACATACGCCAGCTTCTTGACGACGAGCAGCTGGTACGCGGGGAGGCACCACCAGCGGCACGCGGGCTGGCCCCATCCGTACATGCATTGTGTCCTGTCTGCCTTGTCGTCATGGTTGCTACAGTTGCGTCTTTGCGAAGTGGTCGAAGTGAAATCGACTTCCCGCGGCACGAAAGAACACATCGACCTGTCGATGAACGAGCTCCGATTCGCCCTCCAGAAGAGAAGCAAATACATACTCTACAGGCAAGAGAGTCTCGCGCACATGAAAACGCACATGGCAACCGATAGAAAGCACACCTGCTTCTCCCTCTTTTGCTGTGTTTTGTGCAGAGTGTTCGGTATGTCCGTGGGCCAAGACGCTCCGACGGTGCGGCTGGAGAAGTACGCGGATCTGTGCATGCACATTCGCAAACTGCATGGGTTCCTGGTCTCGAATGGGGAAAAAGAGGAAGGAGAGATAGATGTGGATCTCAGCCCCTCGCTCGCACAGGGGGCTTGATTGCGTAATACGTGATGAGTGGTGCGTGCTATGTTATTAATCGATTTTATGGGTCAATGAAGCGCTCGCTCGAAATGCGCGCGTGCAATGAGTTCGATCATTCGCACCATCGCTGAGCTCGCAGATCTGTCGGAACCGCCTTTGCCATTCCCCATGCGCATCCTGGAGCAGGCAACGCGACAAATGGGCCGCGAGATGGCAGATGGCACCGATGAGAACATGTTGGTGCGACCCTACGACGAGAGGGCCATGAGAGTAGCTATCTCTGAAGGCGAGAAGCAGCCCCGCTTCCCTTTCGGCTGTCTGATCGTGGATGAGACGAGTGACAGAGAGATGGTGGAGCTGATGCGCGGCCACAACAACGAACCGCCATACATCGGGTGAGAATACGCACAACAGACGAAACGCAGGATGACGCCTGAGCAATGCTCGTGTGCCATCTGTGCAGGCCCATCTACCACGGCGAAACCACGACCATCGCGAAGCTTCTCAGGTGCATAGCAAAGAAGCACACAATCGTTCACGTGTATGGGAGAGTCTGTCTGCCTGTGTGTGCCTGTCAGGAAGACGAATGGGAAGGTGAGCGGCCGCTTTGTCACCCTCTACACGACGGGCGAGCCATGTGCCATGTGCGCGAGCGCCATCGAGTGGACGGGCAACATACATCGAATCTGTTACGGCACCAGCATCGGTCAGTACTCCTGAAGTGTGAATCATGCATTGCCGCATTGCACCGTTGCCGTCACCTTGCGTGTCTTCCGATTCTCAGAGAAGCTCACCCAGTACGGCTACAACCAGATCCAAATCAGCACCTCGTAAGCAGAAGGAATGCCCACTCCTGACCTCTTCTTGTCCCCACCGTGGTGCTGTCTATGTCAGGACGGTCATTCGTGAGTCGTTCAGGAAGCCGCCCACCCTGGTGCGGGGAGCGGTGCTGGAGGACGAGTGCAACGCACTCTTCGAAAGAGCCCAGCGCATCGCTGCCAGCCAAGGAGGATGAGGCCACCCCATTTCCAGTGCTGCTCTGCGTACCTACGAGTGGATGTACATGGCCATGTCTTGGCTGTCTTGCTCGTTTAGCCTGTCTGTCTGCTCTCTGCTGGACGTTTGGTGACCTGTGTGTATAGAGGCGGTGTGGGTCCTTCCCCAGTCGTGTCGTTTTTTGACATGGCCTGAGGAACGCCACCGGACACTGCGTGTTGGCGTGTTGTGCAGTATACACAAGTTTTTTTGCTTGGGGGATGGTGACGAATACGTGCAGCTGACCGAAGACTCTATCGGCTATGAATCATGGAGTGAACTTCGGCTTTGCAGCCCGTGTAGGCAGCAATTGAAAGCAGGTCAACATGAATACAACACACAGACGAGCACAGAATTGTCCCAATCAGTCAGCACTTAAACCGATACCACCCACCACACCGAAACCGTCTTGTCCCCCACTGAAGCAGTCAGCTGATGCCCAACGACACCCACTGCCCTGTCTGGTCGACGTAGCCCAGGCGGCCCCACTGGAACTGACAGTCGTCATTGCCCTCCTCGTTGTTGAAGCCCTTGACCACCCCCTCTAGGCCGTGTTGCCGCACCTCATCCAGCCCGGCGCGATGCACCACCTCACGCACCCCCAGCCGTCTGTGTGTGTGGTGCTGCCCGGCATCGATGGCGAAGCACTGCAGCTGCGGCACACGCACCGTCTGCCCGTCCGGCCCCCGGCTCCACCCGCCCACCACCTGCCGATTGCTGACCGTCTTGGTCGCCGCCCACTTGACGAAATGCCCAACAGCCGCCGTGACGCGCCGCTTGAGCGCCGACGCATTGGTGAGAAAGCTGTTGATGGCGGTGAATGCGGCGGGGGGGTCGTGCAGGAAGGCCCCGATCTTCCATGCGATGGCGGCGGCCTCCTGTGGTCCGAATGAGAGGGGCGAGGGGGAGGGCGGGTGGGGGAGGGAGGCGTCCTCGTCGTTGTGATCCACCAGGGGCAGGATGCGCGTCATGAGGATGTCGGCGTCGCGCTGGGGGGCGAGGGCGGCGTTGATCGCGTCCATGACGACGAAGGGCAGCTCGTTGAGCACAGTGATGTACTCCTTCAGCACCAGCTCACGCCGCTTCCGCTGAACGGGCGTGGTGGTGGGCAGGACATTCGTCGAGAGGTCGGCCCCCGCCCGCAGAAAGGACCGGACCACCAGCTTGCGCTCGCGGATGAGCTCAGCCGTCCGGTCCGGTACATTGTCGTCGTCACCATCCCACTGCTCAAGTAGGAATTGCAGCTGATCTGCGGCACTCCAGAGCAGCGGGTGACCTTGTGCAGGGTTGATCTCAGTGGGAGTGGCGAGGCGCTGGCACAGGTAGTCCACCACCCAGTGGCTGCCACCATGGGCGGCAATGAAGAGTGCGCTGCGCACCGTGGCTGCCGGTATGGGGTCCCCGTGCTGCACTAGGGTGTCCACGTACTCGTAAACGAAGGCCTTGGACAGAAGGGGTCGTGAAATAGCAGCTGAGAGCACCGCACGGCCACTCAGTGAAGGGTCGTGCTGCATCAGTCGGCGCGCCACACCGATGAGGGCATCGCCATAGGCTTGCGACGTCTGGAGGGGAGGGACGACGGGAAGGGGGAAGGCTATATCATCGAGTTGATTTGTGGCCAACAGCACCTCCACTGCCTCAATGTTGCCCGTATTGGCCGCCACACGGATCGGCCTCATGCCATCGTGATAGGGATGATAGCGGTTGACGTTGGCGCCGCAGCTGATGAGCGCCTGGAGTATCTTGCGCTGCAGCTGGCGAGACGACCACGGCTTGAGCAGCAGGGGCGTCTTGAGGTCCGAAGACATCCACCACACATAGGGGACGCTGCCTGTCGGGTCGTCAATCGCCATCGACAGAAGAGGCACCCATTTGGTGGATGAGTGGACTCCAGATGCCTTCTCGTGGAAGCCGACAAGTGCGTCGGGGTCGGCTCCTTTGGTCTGGATGAGTCGAGTGGCGATGGCGGGCGTCAGCTCACGGCGCAGAATGCGGTGGACGAGGCGCTTTGTGGCGGGGCTGGTGCTGGGCTGCCAGCAGAGGTCGATGCCGTCATTCATTAGCGGCGGCTGGGCGGTGCTGGCGGGCTGATCAGACATCATAGTAACATCTGCAACACAGAGGCAGGACAAGACGCCTCATCAATGCTTCCCTTCATCCCTCGTTGCCATGTCACACACATACATTGGCTGAAGCGCACCGGATTGAATCAGCAATCGATGCCGTCGCCTGCAGGACCCGATGACGACTCAGAGAGCACGTCACAAGGGAGGAGCCTCCGAGATCTGCTTCCACCTATGTGCGCTGCTGCTCCGTGAAACCGCTCTCACCAGAGCCGACGAAACGAACGGGTGGACAGAAGACGAGATTGGCGTTCGATAAGGCGATAGATGCCGGCGAATGTTCGTCGCTGCGCATCGGTCCGCCTGCCTGACCGGGTGAAGGGGACGCTCACCATACTGATTGGCGTCATCGCCATCACACCCGACGCACTCCTACTGCGGTCAGCCCAAACAAACAAGCAAGAAAAACAAGAGAGCATTATATGCAGTGTCTGTGTTTTGTGTTCGATTCCTTTGCCCTGGTCCTGTGCAGGCAGGTGCAGCACTTCAGCATATGGACGATCATATTTTTCCGGTCTGCTTTGGCAGCGGCTGTGCTTCTGGTGGTGGTGCTGGCGACCACGCACTCATCGCGGCGGCTGTCGACCTTCACAGAGGGCGGCGCGTCGGTTCTGTTTTGCATCGTGCCGTTCATCGTGTCGATGGCGTGCTTCCCCTCCGCCATTGTGTCGACGACTGCCGCCAACGCACTCGGCATCTACTCATCCAACCCGATCTTCGCCGCCCTGCTGGCCTACCTGCTGCTGGGCGAGCGGATTGCCGTCAGCCTGGCCGTGGCGATTGTGCTGGTGCTGACCGGCATCGTTTTGGTGTTTGTGGCTGACTTTCGCGCCGGCCGGGTGTTGGGCAATGTGCTGGCACTGGTGACTGCGGCGGCTCTTGCGGGGTACCTGGTGGGCATCCGATACGTGAGCACCCGGCACCCTCGAGTGGACGCCAGGGTGCTTGCCGTGTACGCGTTGGCGTGTTCTGTGGTGATTGTGGCGTGTGTTGGGATCGACATGCGGCCCTTCTCGCCGAGCTATGTGGAGATGGCATGGTTCGTGGCCATGGGCGGCGTCTGCTACCCTGTAGCCATCGTGGCTGTCAATATCGCGCCCAGGTAGAGAGAGTGGAGGCAGGGAAGCTCCCAGCTGGACACATAATGCATGATTGTCTCTCTGTTGCTTTCCACCGTGAAGGTATCTGCATCCGGCCGAGGTGGCGCTGTACATGTGTCTCGAGACCGTCCTCGGCCCTCTGCTCCTGTTCGCTGTCCAGGGCGAGAGGCCCACCGACCTGGCGCTTGTCGGCGTGGCCCTCGTGGTTGTGTCTCTGGCGGGCCAGTCGGCCGTCACTCTGTGGATCGACTACCGCAGCTCCGACCAGGCCACCACAACGCTCGACACGGCGAATGGCGCGGCACTCAAGAGTGATGGGGATGGCCAGGATTCACGGCTGGCTGCCGCCACACAGGCGTATGGGAGCAACGACAGCCAGGCGGTGGGGGGCAGCCAGGAGTCTTTTTCGGACGTATGAGAGAGTGACTGGGTGTGGGCTGTGAGCACATGTGTGTGTGCGGGAAGCTAGGCACCGTTGGTGGTTGTGCTGTTTTGTAGTATGGACGCTTGACAGTATCACTGTGTCCAGTCGGAGTGACCTGTGTGTATTTGTTGGCAACACGCGTGTGTGTGTTGGCATGTGTGCAATTCGTTCGACTGATGGTCGGTCGTCATTTTTCTCTCTGTGTGTGTCATTTGGACACATTACGTACATATGTGTATACGTATACACGTGTGTGTGCGTACAGATGCGGACATGTAATTGTAATGGATCGGTTGACTCAGTGGAGCGTCTTTATCTGCCAATCGACCGACCGACCGACCGACTGAGTGTGAGTCATTGGCTGCCGTACTGTGTTTGGCATCGATCGTCGTGATGGTGCCAGGCCGCCGGGTGACGATGGCCGTGTGTCTGCTTCTCCTCTGTCTCACCATGGTGCGTATCCCAACACACACAGCAGACAGCCGCAGCTCATCCACAGTGTGTGTCATTGCTCGCTGTAGGTGCTGCGTCAGTCGAGTGGCGGCCGCGCCTCATCAGCGAGTCGGTTTGACTTCACGCGCTACGACGGCCGGCCATTCGTCGCTGACAACTCATTCGTCAAGTTAGCAGAGAGGGACGGAGGGACCAATGGTGGCTGATTGATGTATGTGTGCCATGTGTGTGCAGTGGTGGTGCGGATCGTCCTCTGGGTGCGTTCAAGCCGGGCCCCTCGCTCGCGATGCAGAAGGCACGGGAGCTGGCCAGGCAGAGGAAAGAGCGCAGGAGATATGAGAGGGACGCACGCAAATCCATCGCCTACTAGTGAGTGCACCGCATGACAGACAGGTGTGTGTGTGAGTGTGTGTGTGTGTGTGTGTGTTGCCAGTTACGAGAAGGAGTACCAGCACGACAGCGACTTCCCAGTCCCATCCATCCCATCACTCCGGTTAGTTCAGCCAACAGACTTGTGATGATTGATGGATGTCGTGTCGTGTAGGCTGAAGGACGTGTCGTACCCGCGGTCCACCATCGTGTGATGAGGAATCAGACAGAGCAGACACACAAGAAACGACTGACGGATCAGTGCAATGCATGAGAGAACGACTGTATGTGAACACATGAAGAGGACAGACAGACAGACACAAACAAAATATCAATGACCATGCAGCAGGTGGAAATGAATCATAAATGGACGAGTGCAAATGCCGCAACGCATCGTCAAGGCACCAAACTCAATCGCAGAAGCTAGTGCATGCAGTTAATTCTGCGAGACGGCCAGCTTGACGACCGAAAATTCGTTTGGACCGGAAGGAAGTCTGATTGCCTGTCTGTTCGTTTGCGTGGGTCAGTTTGACCGCTGAATACCTTTTTTGCTGTGTGTTGGTCGTAGTTTGAGCTTCATTAGTGAAACACTCCTATCGGTACACTGCGATGTGTCGGTCCATAGAGCGATCGTCTCATATCACACCTCGTACATATCAGCAAACTCTATTAATCGTCTCTCTGTAGCTCTCCCTTCCTGCGCTTGCTGCGATCCATTAGGTGCCCGTGAACACAGACATACAAAGCTGATGATGTACACCATCCGCCCCTTCCTCCGTTCGTTTTTGTACCCCGCCCCGTGACCCTCAAACCCCCATGACAAACCAAATGCAGCAGCAGCAAACGAAACGCAGCGCTGTTCCTCGGTCGGCCGAAGTTTGCATGAATGCACTTATGTAGTGGGAAGCTTATCGACGGCCACCAGTCCCAACTGACTGACTGACTGACTGACTGACACCTCACCTCACCCCTCCTCACCTCCCCTCCCTCCCTCACTGGCCGACGTTTGCACTATCGTCCGGTCGTCACTGGATGCGTGTGCTTCATATCTCCCATTCCCTGCCAGCCAGAGTGGCCACACCATGTTTGAGCGGCGCACACAGCGGACAGGAAAAGTTAGACAAGAGGCCGCAAAAACACGCACCTTTTCTTTCCTGATTGCGTGCAACGTGCACGTACTTGCGCGACTCTCCTCCGTCCCACTCACCACCTTCCTCGCTCACGCACCGCGCGATCGACTGCTGTACGTGTGAATGTGTTGTGGATGTGTGTATGTGAGGATACATATCACATCATGTGTATACCGACTGACTGACTGACAGCGTGCATTATGCAGCGGGGCGAGGGAGGGCGCTGCTGGTTTAAAAAACGGCGTATATCCATCCATCCCTCCCGATCACAGAACACCATCCCATCCCACCCATGTAGGCATACAGAGAAAGAGAGCACATGCATGCAGTCATTTCATCTAGTTCACTCAGCCAGCTTTTGTCGTACCTGCCCCCTCTCCCTCCCTCCCACACCAGAAAAAGAATCGGCAGGCGGGAGGAATCAAGGGTTACGACTGACGGCCGCACAGTTCATTCCCCTCACCCCACCACATGCATACACGTGTGATGTACGCATTCATATGTACGTATGTATGTATGTATGTACGCATTCATTCATTGTCACGGTCGCGGTGCACCTATCAACGAATGGAATGTGGTGTGTGTGTATGTGTGTGGATGTGGATGTGGGGTGTCTGTGCACAGTGCTCCCACCCACCCACCCTAACACCCCCCCACCCCCTCCCCCTCCTGCATGGGCTAACCGTCGTTAAGCCATGCGTGTGTGCAACAACAACACAGTGGATGGCTGTCTGTAAGTGCGCTATGCCGTGTGATGAATGGAATGGGTGCATCGATCGAGATCGATGGATGTCCGCCCGTCCGACACCTATGACCTATCTGTGTGCATCCAACCATCCATCCGTCCGTGTGAGAGTAGTGTGTGTGGGTACGTACATCAAGGGATATGGTGAGTATGCGGCTGCCTGACCGGGGGATGGGCGGATGAACAAAAAGGACGGCTGCGCTGCCAAGGAGAAGCGTGTATAGATGTAGAAGTGTGCAACCAAGGCGGAATGACTGCATGGCGATCTAGAGCGAGATGAAACCTCACAATACCGCACCGGTCAGCATCAAAGATCAATCATGAATGAATGAATGTGCAAAACCCTGGCCGTTTGTATGAAGTGGCCCGCCCACACCGCGACCGGTAAATGGCACCAGCAGCATATAGAAAACACGAGGGAGCGCTCTAGGACGTAGCATGATCTGATTCGTGCCCCCCCCCTCCCCCCGTTCATCAGCGCTAGTGCCCCTCCCACCCACCGTGTCGCCTCGCGTGAGGTGACTGACCCACGCGAAGGGCATAAAAAAGGGGGACTGGCCACCCGTCCATCGATCCCTCTGTCGCTCTGCTACGCACGTGGCCCCACCACAGCAGACAAAAATACTGCATTGAGAACACTACCACACCCCTCTGCCTCACCCAGTGTGCGCTTCGCTCCCACACTCCAGTGATGGTTGGTCGGTCGCTTCGCGTGAGCACATCTTACAGCTGGCTCTCCTGCTCTTAAAACTCTTACTTCCCTCCTCCGTGTCTTGTCTTGTCTGTGCCGCTGTCTCGTCTCGTGTGCTGCCCTTCCCTCACGAACATATGCATGCAGATAAGGAACCATCGAATTAGGTGCCGTTCAACCCCCACACACCCACCCCGCCCCCGCCCAGCCATGAAGAGCCAGCCAAGAAAGAGGGGGTACCATATGCACTCACACAGACAGGCCTAAATGGACGGAATGGAATGGAACGCTTCATGCGTGCGTGTGATGGAGATGTGATGCGCATGTGCCCCCTCCCTTCCTTCTCCACATCCAGCAAGCAACATAACATAACACGACAGATAGAACCCAACCCCCAACACAGCACGCGACCTGATTGCACTGTCTGTCCAAAAAACGGGGGACAGAAAGACCCCCTTCTGTCTGTCTGTGCCGCCAATCAATCAAGAAACACAGGTAGACGGGCTGGGCTAGTCAACACTGGGAAGCGCCGCAGGCAGGAGAGGACAGGGGACGATCGGTGGATGCCTTCGCATCACGCCGACCTCAATTCATCAAAACACGCTAGCTGACTGACCCTGTCTGACTCTCTGACGTGACCCTGACGTGGCATGACATGACGGAACGAGACATAACGCACAAAGCAACAAAAACCGACTAGAGCAAAAAACCACCGCACAGACGAGCATAGCAGACATTAGAATGACGGCGAGAACACAAATCGAAGGCGAGATGAGAGGGAGAGAAGGTGTGGGAGAGGCCCGTCGCGAGAATGTGCCCAACTCCCCAATTGGGCCATGATGGGTGTGTGTGTGTGAAGTGTACATGTAGTGTCGTGAGGTGCTGCCGAGAGAGAGAGAGGAGACGGATCGTCGACGGCCGTGGGTGTCCAATATGCATGATGCATGGGGAATGAACGCCTGCCACGCCGCATAAAAATAGACGAACACGATCGTAGCCATCTCAGACAGACAGACAGACAGACAGACAAGGCAGAGCCGGATACACGGATCAAGCAAGCGGAAGGTTGCCCTCCGGTCTCATGTATCGTCAACAGTCATCCTTCGCCAAGCGGAACGCCCAAAGCGAGCGGGATGTGCCCCACTCGCACGAGACGTTCCGCCGCGAGAATTTAGACGGTTGACGAGACACGAGGTTGCGGAAATGACGGCAAGAAAGAGAAAGCCAAGGCCAGACGAGAGAGTGAGTGAGGGGGACAGACAGTGAGTGAGAGAGGAACCGTACCTTACGACTGACTGAGCGAGATGATCACTCCGTGTGGTGGACTGGACGAACGAGCAAAGGACAAAGTAACGAGCAACATGGCACACATACAACCGGACAGAGGGAGACAGTGGGAGCAGGCAAGACACTCACGCAGACATACCACAGCCATCCACCCACCCATGGGTGTTGAGCATCAGACTCAGTCACATGATGTAGCCGGTGGGACCGACTCACTCAGCTCTCACAGCAGGTAGCCAGCCAGTTAATTACAAGGAGGGCGGAAACCGGTCCGACGGGGCTCTCATCATGGTATCACTCTCAGCGCATCCCACCCAACCACGGCTGACTGACTGACCTACCTGCGTCAACTACCTTCTTCCTTCTGGCTGCATGTGTGTGGGTATGTATCTCTGTGTCGGGGTGTGGTGCCTGTGTTTGAAATCCACGCATCAAACGACCCACGCACGTCGACTCACTGAAGCCAAGAACGAACGAGTGTGGGAGGTATACCTGTGTACCTGACAAAGTGAGAGGGACGATGCAGGGAGTGAGTGAGTGAGTCAGTCAGTGAGTCAGAGGCTTGAGAGACAAACCTAACAGGCGGGGCAGTCAGTCAGTCAGACAGTCATGTCAGTCAGGGAGGCCTCTCCATCTTCCTTGCGTCCTTTTGGGCAGAGAGGCATCCCGCATCGCTAGCTACAGTCAGTCGGTGCGCCCCAGCACCCACCTGTCTGTCTGTCTCTTTGTCTGTCTGGGCCACCTCCTCCCCTCCGCACCTGACAGGCCCCCGCCAAAAAAAGAATGCCAAGATTGAAACAGGGGAAGACAGAATGAATGGGCGGCGCTCACGCAAGTCACCACACACACGCACCCACACATCCACACACCCACCCACCCACCCACCCACACACAGTCGCCAGTCCACGTCAGTCACATGAATCAATCAATCGATCGCATCAGTCACATCCATCAGCCACTGACAAGAAACTCCATTTCACGACAGACAGACAGACAGGCAAGCAAGCATTCAGTCAGCAGTCAGCAGTCAGTCACCTTGCAACCACACCTATACCCCCCATCCTTGCATCCATCCATCCATCCACACCGACAACAACACCATATCGCACACCACACCACACGACACCATGCCACACAGCCCAGCACACACAGCACATCAGACACAGGCAGACACAGACACAGGGCAGGTCAGTCCGTAGCAGCAGTCCTCCTCCCCTTACAGACAGACAGACACGGTGGATGGGGTGAGTACACTTCCGTTGGTCTTTCTTTCTCTCTGTCAGTTTGTCTGTCCATCTGTGTGTTCCCACCTGTTGTCTGTGTACCTACCTGTGGAGCGAGCATCCGGTCGTTCCACCTAGCGCTCCAGAAAAATTGCAACGAGCGAACCTCTCCCGCCACCCATCCAGACACCCCCAACGACCCGCACGCGACGCATATACATCCATTCCCGCCTCTCTCTCCCCCCCTCCCTCCCTCCCTCCCTCTGCCTGCCTGTCTGGGTATCGAACAAACCTGCGCGCGTGCCAGCCAGCCGGCCGGCCGGCTCTGTCTTTTTGCATGCTATACATACAACAGATTTGATAGAGGGGCACGTGCCAAACGCCCAAAGATAGAAAGAAGGACGGTATACGAAGGAAGCGACAAATCGGCGAGTGAGGCTGGGCGGGGCGGGGCGGGGCGGGGCTGGCTGGTCTAGCTAGGTCGGCTGTATATATCTTATGTATACGTGATACGTGTGGAGTAAGTTCAAAGCGCTATCACTCCCTCCAATCGATCCCTCCCCCCCCTCTCTCCCAGTGTAGTTGCTGCTTGTCAAGATGAGCAGTGAATGAGCAAGTAATGACACCATGTTATAAAAAGGGCAGCCTGCTTGCCTTGCTTGCCCGCCTGCCTGCCTGCGTGTGCATCCATCCCCCCCTGGAAAGCCAGCAGCACTGGTGCAGGCATGCCTTCGCTGTCCGTCGGTCAAAGTGATGCACACACACACACACACACATACATACATACGCAAAGGTTCTTCTCGAAAAGGGCGGCAGACAGAGGAGCGTTAGAGTAGATAGACCCCAGAGCGGAGCGGAGCGGAGCGGATCGGGTCGAGAGGGCGAGACCTAAATCTGTCTGTCTACTGTGCATGAGTGAATCGATTCGATGATGTAATGAATGAATGAATGGATACACTCATTGCATGCAAGTATGCATGGCAGGGCCGGGAGTGGAGTAGATATGAATGATATGTACGCAAGGCTGTACGTACGTACGTTGGCAAGTCAGTAAGTATGTAAGTCAGTAAATAAGTCAGTACGGATGTCAGTCAGTCAGAGGTGAATGGACAAGTGGCCCAAGAGGCAGGCGGTCGAGCGAGCGAGCGGTCGAGCGGTTGAGCGAGCGAGCGAGCAGCTGAGACAGCCACAGTATGGTGTACATGTGCACCCATTCACGCGTTTGTCAAACCAAACAGCCACACATGCATCCGCGCACTTTCACACAAATGACGATCAGCAAGATGGAAAGATGGCAGCAAGGAATAGGGCTGGCTAGCACCAAGGGCGAGCACAGCCTCACCAGGAAGCACTGTTGGTCAGCAGGTGCCCCTGGGTCGTTGCGACGAACGAGATGAGACGAGGTGAGTGAAAAGAGTGAGAGGAGCGCGATAGCGGAGTCAGTGAGCAGCCACAGCCAGCCAGCCATCTATACTGTACAAGAGTGGACAAAGCGTGCCGTCCATCCACCATGTCGGACCAGTGGTGGAGGGAAGAAAAACGAAAGCGTCATGTGTAAACAAATGAAGAACGTTAGAAAAAGGCGGCAGTGAAGCGCATCGCCTCAGAGCCAAAGGCGCCCGCCCAAACAAAACAAAACAAAAGAGAAGGAAAAGAAAGAAATAAAGAGGGAAACGGAAAGCAGCGTGCGTCATGCCAGCCAGCCAGTGTCGACACATACAGGTCGGTCGATCACTCACTCACTCACTCACACAAGGGCGGAGGGCAAAAGCAGAAAACCTCCTTCCTTCTGCATGCAGGCAGTGAATGAATGGCTGGACGGATGTATGGACGAGTGAGTGCATCGGTCAGGAAAATTGAGCCGAGGTGCTCCCATGGATACAACATACCAATCAGCCGGATGAACAACGTAAGAAGCATCATGTCATGACAGCAAGAGCAGAGAACAGTTGATTGATGCATGGGACGCTGTGAGTGAGTGAGTGAGGAAGCGAAGCAAAGGAGTGAGGGAGACGGAGAGAGAGGCCTGGCTACCAGCCCGCCAGCCATAGCTGTTGTCCAAGTATACATATCTACAGAGCCACCCCACCCGTCACCCCACAGCACACCCTTCCTTCCAACAGCCAGCAACAACCGTCATGACGCGTGACTGACTGACACATGGATGTCATGTCGTCAGCCAGTATAGACAGACAGACAGACAGTCGCCAACCCAACCAGCCCCATCCGCCCCGCCATGCCCTCCCTCCGTAAGACTTACGCAAGCAAGTAGGTAGGTAGGTAGGTAGATAGGTACGTGTGTACGCAGCAAATCAGTACATATGCTGCATAAGGTATGCATGCAAGCAAGTAGTCGAGCGAGATAGCGATCGAGATAGCGATCGACCTACAGAGGATCCATCCATCCATCCATCCACACAGACAGCATGAGCAAGTAGGTAGGTAGGTAGTCAGTGGCTGAGCTAGTAAGTTTCCGCCCTCTCCCTCTCTCAAATGGGTGACGATACGTATGAATGAATGAATGAATGAATGCACGAATGAATCATTACATAATGAATGGCTGGATGGATGGATGACACCGCACAAACAAATATAGAGCGTCCGATGAATGAATCAATGCATGAAGCAGTGATAAGAGAAAGAAAGCCAGAAAGAAAGAACGAATGCAGGAATGACAGCCAGCTCAATGAATACATACGTCAGTCAGTCATCCCACGCCCGTCCCTCCCCTCCCGACACGTGCCGAAGCTCACCGATTTAGATAGATAGATGCAGACAGACATGTATATACCCAGCCATGCCAGCCAGCCAGCCAGTCGTGGCGGCCGCCTTCCGTGCCAGCCTTATGCAGGGCACGCAGCAGCCAAGCCGCAGACAGACAGACAGTCCACCAATCCAATCCAATCCAATCGGGGAGGGGAAGGGGAGAAACGGACGGACAAGGTGAGTGGGGGGGAGGGGGGCAACAAGCGATCGTGCTATGCATGCATAGATAAATCGGTTGTCATCAATCAATGACTCTATCGGACAGACAGCCATGCGATCGATCATACATGCGACAAGACAATACACACCCACTCGCCCAGCCAGCCAGACAGCCAGCCAGTCAGTCAGCCACAAATGCGGTCATTCGGCCATGGCCGATCGGTCAGGACGGAAGACAGGCAGGCAGGGAGGGAAAGAGGGAGACATGCGATGGGACGAGGTCAACATAGCGCGTAGATAGGTATGTGGGTATGTAGGTGTAGATATGTCTGTGCATATGCATATGCGCATGCGTGTGTCGTGTCAGCCAGCCAGTTCGCCAGCCAAGCAGCAACTGTGTGCATGCAGCCAGCCGTACGTACGCATTCCCAGTAAGTAAGGTAAGCAACCGCACACCACACGCCCCTCCCTCCTTGCCCTCCTTGGTTTACCCTCCCCTGTCGGTGTGTAGTACGCACATCTATCAGCCACGCACCCAGAAAGTACAAGTCAGTCACATCACATCACATCACATCACATCATGTCACGTCACGTCCGCCAGGTACCGGAGGCCATGCCGCTAGCCCTACTCTCCACGAGTGGGGGAGCCGGTGGTGGCGGTGGTGGGGGCGGGGGAGGCGGCCTCATCCACTCACCCCCCCCACCCCTACCACGGACGCCGAACGACCCACCACCTACACTAGCAGCAGCAGCAGCACTAGCAGCGGTACTGGCATAGGTGTACGAAGGCACCCGCCCCAGGACGCCCCTCCCCCTGTCCTCTCCTGTTGGTGTCGTGGTGGTTGTGCTGGTTGGCATTTGATTCGACGCCATGGACGTGGCGTCCCGGTTGCGAGGGGAGAAGCCGGGTGGGGGCGGAGGGAAGTAGGAGCGGGACGCACTGAGGGTGTGGGACAAGTGAGAGGGGTCGCAGTAGTTGCTGCTGCGGGGTGGCGGAATGATGCTCGGCAACGGCTCGTGCTCGGAGGTCTCGTCTGAGATGGTGTGGCCGGGGCCGCTCCTCCGTCTGATCTCTCCCCCGTCCTCTCTCACGAGCGTCACCTCACCCATACCAACACCCACACTCACACCCACCCCCGTGCTGCTGCTGCCAAAGCTGCCGAAGCTGGTGGTGGTCTCGTGTGTGTGCAGGGGGTATGACGGCAGCCGAAGGAACGCCGGTCGCTGCTTGTGTGTGTCGGTGGTGGGGGCGCCGAAGAGGTCTCCGCCCAGTGTGTGCGTGAGGAAGCGAGACGGGGTGGCTCCTGCGTGTGAGTGCGACGAGGAGGGCGGCGAGTGCGGCGCACGGACGCCGCCCCCCTCCCATCCCCTCTCACGCAACGAGTGCACCGGTGGGCTCTGAAACAGGTCCGGCAGGTTGTCGACCAGCGACAGGGGATGGGCGCCAGGCGGTGAGGGTGATGGCGTGGGCGTGTCGTCGGGCAGCCCCATGCTGATGTTGATGAGCATCTGTGGCGGCAGCAGCGACGACAGCGATCGCCCCTTGGTCCCCTGCTGGCTGCTGAAGGTGGTCTGGGTCGGCTGGAAGAGGGCGTTTGAAAAGGGGGACGTCGAGGCGACCGATGGCGGCGAGAGAGTGGGGTCCGGCGCACTGCTGCTGCTGGGCTGCGACGATGCCGATGCCGGCGGAGCCGACATGGTGGCCGCCACGACAGCGCCGTTCTTGACGAGAGGGGGCGGCACGACACGCGCCAGCGGCCGGGTGGATGGGAGGAATGGCGAGTGGGATGACCGCTCGTCGAGGCAGTCGTCCTCGGAGGCGTGGCTGTCGGCGTCGTTCTGGTCGGTGCGGGTGGTTGTGTGTGGGTCGGGGTCAGAGAGTGTGTGGGGGACGGGCAGCGGGAGGGCCTCCCTCGACTGAGATACCGGAGGGAACAGCTTGTGGTGAAAACCTGACCACACACACACACACACAGACAGGCAGACACAGACAGAGGGTGAAAGAGTCGACAAGTGGGGAGTCTAGTCTTCTGTGTGTTGTATGGGGTGTCTGTGGTGACTGACCCGCTGCCGGCTGGTAGAGGAGCAGTTGAGTGGTCTGAGACAGAGCGTTCTCCGCCTCATCCTAGACACACACAGAGGGGACACACGTAGGGCAGTGGGTGGCACAGACGGTGTGAGCTTCCCCCCTCCCACCTCAACGTTTTGCTGCGCCTTTTGCCGCAGTCGTTTCCTCTTTGATGCCCGACTCTTCTTGCGGGGAGTGTGCGGAAAATGACCTGACCATCATGACAAACACACACACACAGACCCACGATCGATTATAGGCTCTCACACAGCCCAGATCAACAAGCATTCGCCCATGCGGATGGATCTGCCTTGTTGCTGCCGTCTCCTGCCTGTCTCCCCCCTCCTCCCCTCTGTCTGCGTCCCGTCCGCCAGTCAGGTCAGACTCCGATGGTGTGTGCACTGCTTACAGAATCTGCATGCGAGTCCGTTGGTGCACCCCTGTCGGTGGTGGAAGAGGCACGGCTGGCACTTGGAGGGGTCCTTGGCGTGTTCGATGGAGCCGATGCTGGTCAGGTTGCCGTCTTCGTCCCGCGGTATCATGGCCTTGATCTCCTCCGTGATCTCCCCCACAAAGGCGCATGACGAGGTGGGCGTCGAGAGGAGGACACCACGGTCGGCCGTGCTGTCCTCATCGGAGCTGGAGTCCTCGATGCCCTGCAGGTCGTTCCATATCAGCTCCAGACCCTGCACACACCCAGCCAGTCACCACACACGCACAGGCAGATGTGGGAGACGTCCATGCGCCTCCTCCCCTGAGTGTCGTCTCCCTCCCACGACACACGATACGTACCTTGGGCACCCTCTTCCTGGTGGTTGTCTCGTCGATTCGGGTGCGTGCAGGCGATGCGACATCGTCGTGGGTGGCGAGAGGGATCTCTTCCGTGTGCGCCACGGTATCAGGGGGGGCCTCCACCATGTCAGGACGAACGGTCAGGGGGGAGAAGTGAACTTCCCTTCCCCTTCCCTTTATCGTCCGCACTGGCGCATGCCGATGCGGACGCGAGGCAAGAGATGACAGATCTAGGGGTCGAGGTGGCACTCTGGGCCGAGGGCGACAAAAGGGGAAATCGCTAGGAGACAGTACAAGTTGCAGAGATGTGCAAGCGGGAAAGAAACCCTTTCACCCCAAAAAACCCTTCTTCTGTTGTAACCCCAAAGAGAGCCGGAGAAAGCTGGTGAAGATGGCGGCTGTGCAGGGCCTCAACGGCATGCGAGTGGCATCGGTGGACGATTTGTTCCGTAAGCAGAAGCTGTCGACCATCCGCAGCATCCTCGACAAGACCGATGGGGAGATCAAGGGCAAGTCGGAGGAGATCCGCCAGCTGGTGGGAGCCCGCTACCGAGATGTCATCGAGAGCTCCGACCTGCTGGCGAAGATGCACACACACGCACGGACCGCCCAGGACTCGTCGGCACACATCCTGCAACTCACCAAGTCGCTCCGTGAGCTGGCGAGTGAGTCACTGGGCGGCCGGCGGGCCGACGAAGAGGACCCCTTCCAGGCCACAGCGGCACACTTCGAGACGGCAAAGAAGCTCAAGTACCTGCTGGAGCTGTCGGCTGCCGTCTGGGCCAAGCTACGCGACCACAGATTCCTCGAGGCCACCAGCCTCATTCTCATCGAGGCGCCGTCACTGCGCCGCAGCATCGAGGAGAGCTGGGCGGCCCATCCCCCGCCCCCCTCCCTCCCAGCGTCCTCGCCGTCGCCGACAGACATCAGTGTGGAGCAGCTGGTGCGGCAGAACCGGTCGCAGTTCCAGGACCTGCCGCAGCGACTGGTGGCCGACTGTGTCGAGTCCCTCGCATCGGTCGCCCTCACAGCGGTGCATGCGGTGGACTGCCTGGCGGCCATCCTCCTCCTCACCCCTTCACCCTCCCTCTCCCTCTCGCCCACTCTGCCCGGCAGCCAGCCGTTCGCCCAGCACGAGGCAACCGCCGGCACCCAGCTGCTGCGGCAGTTCATGGCCAAGCGTAGCGAGCTGCTGCAGGCCCTCTGCACCACTGACTTGTCGTCGTGGACGGCCCCGCGGAAGGCTGCTGGTGCTGCAGGTGCGATGGATGAGGGGCGGCCGCCTTTGCTGCCTGCGATTGAGGAGGAGGGGGTGGAGGAGGAGGCAGAGCCGCCGTCGATCGAGACGGCTCTCGAGGAGATCGCTGACCACGTGACGGCCACCATCTACGTCTTTGAGGCGACCATCGTTATGGCCAAGTGCGCCTTCCTCCCCTCCGCCAGCCCGCCGTCTTATGCCATCGTCCGAGCGCTCGAGAGGGACATTTACACCCACCAGACCAGCCAGGCGGTCACATCGGGACCGCCCGCCAGCCCCCCATCGGCCTCCCTGGCCTTCGAAATGACGCATGGCGATGAGGCGCTCCGGTTCTGGACCGACCTGTCGCGGCCGACGGTGCTTCCGTCGGTGGATCGGCTGCAGGGGTACCTGAGTGACGCGAGGGTGAGGGGTGCGCTGGCGACGGTGGCCAGCGGGTTCCTGTCGCGTTGGGGCGGGGCTGTGGAGCAGCACCTGGATGGGCTGCTGCTGCAGCTTGCCATGAGGGAGGACCTCTACTGCAAACACCTGCACCAACTCACCAGCACGGTGAGCACACCTCACTAGAACAAACACACTCATGCGGCATGCGTGTGTCTGTCACATTGGCCGGTTCCTTGTCCGTCGCTCCAGGTGCGTTCGTCGATCGCTGCTCGCAGACGGGAGTTAACGGATCAGCTCGCAACAACAGAGGGCGGCCAGCAGCAGCCAGCGGACCAGGCCGCGCCATGGCCGCCGACATGGCGGGGCCTTTGTGCCACCATCACCACACAGGCCGGCGGTGGCAGCGCTGCTGTTCCCCCTCCTGTAGAGCCAGTGGTGGACCTGTGGGGCAGCTTTGAGCTCAGCTATGTCGAGCACGCCAGGGAGATCATTGAGAGGAGGATAGCGGCCATACCGCTGGACTTCGGTGAGCGCCACCACCAGCACCACGCAACGAAGACACACACACACACACGCCGACATATCTGTCTGTCTGTGTTTGTGTGGGGTGGCTTGCGTCAGGCATGCCCGAGGACGATGTGAGGGAGAAGGGGGGGCTGCTCCCCGACGAGGAGGCGGAAGACGAGGACGACCTCGACATTCCCCCCACTCGCGGCCCCAGCAGCTGGCGGCCCATCGGCGAGGCCATCCTCAGACGATCCACCTCACGACTCGGCGAGAGACGGTCCTCCACCATCGGCATCGGGCAACAGGAGCACCCTCCCACCGACCAGCGAGGATGGATCGCCGACTTCGACGCACAGATCGGTGACATCATCGCAGATGCCGCGACAGTGACGGAGGGGGGAGTGGCGCAGGAGGAGGGTCTCACAGAGGCGTCACTTGCAGTGGTGTTGCACGCCCTGTGGCGGCTGCTGGACAGGGAGCTGCGGCGCCGGCTGTGGAAGGAGGAAGTGGACCAGGGGGAGAAGGAGAGAGGCGTGGAGGTGCTACTGGACAGGTGGCGGCACTCTAGGACGAGGCTGGTGGTGCTGGCAGGCAATCTTGATGACCTCCTGCAGGCATCACAGGTCAGCCAACAAACCCGAAGAGGAAGAGCGCACAGAAGATGACGGCTTGTTTCCCCTTCCTTCCTGTGTCCCTCTGCTCTGTGTGCAGGCCGCCCATGCCCCACCCCAGCCCTCTCGCGGCGTCCGCATGGGCATATCCGCCCGGTCGTCCCCCTCAGCCACCCACCTTGCCCACCTCCTCTCGCAAGCAGACTTCTACCCCTCGCTGCTGCCCTACCGAGCCGGCCTGCTCACCCTCCTGTCGCGAGCAGTCCACTGCGCATACGCTGCCTGGACACAGCTCATCCTGAACGCGCAGACGGAGTTTGTGCGGCACTCCTTCAGGGCGCTGCTGACTGCTGAGTCGCCGTCGCTCGACTCGCCGCCATTGGGTGCTGGTGCGTCGTGGGCGGCGGTGGCGATGGAGGGTGAGGGTGGTGGCGAGGGGAAGGGCGAGGTGGGAGTGCCCGTGCAGGTGTGCGCGTACATCTTCGACCTGTGCCTGCTCATCTGCAAGAGGCTGCTCAAGGTCTGCCTCAACACAAGGTAGGTTTGTGGGTGGTGTGCTGTGGAGGGTGAACCTATCGCCTTGTGTGTGTTGTGCGATGGCCAGGCGGGGTGACGTGTCGCTGGAGTTGCTGTATGGCGTCAAGACGGCGTTGGCCTGCTTCTGCATGGACCTCTACACCACGGCCCTCCCACCAGCCCTCGTGCACAAGTGGCGGCGAGGGGAACGGGAGCCGGCCACCACGCAGCAGTCGGTAGCCCCCGGGGCGAGCCAAGAGCTGACCCTGCCGTCATTCGGCCATGCACTTCAGGTAGCCAACCAATCAAGACGAGACACCCACGGCGTTTCAGTTCGGATCTCTGCCTGGTGACCACTTGTGTGTCAGGTTTTGTTCGACTTGTCCTTCCTGAAGATGGCCCTGTCCTGCAAGCTCCCCGCGTGGCTGCTCGGCAACAAGACTGACCTCACACGCCCACCACCCCCACCACCAGCCCGGGAAGCAGTGACGGCTGCATCGCCCCAGGTGGGTGACGGCCCCTCTCCCTCTCTATCGTCGCTAGCTACTGTGCGTGAGGAGGGCAGCATCGGGTGGGTGATGTCGCTGAACCACCTGCTGTCACTGATGGAGGGGCACTACTTCGAGGACCTTGTTGATCGCATGACTTACCAGACAACCATCAGGTGAGACGGGCGAGGTGCCCTGACGACATTCTTCATGTGAGATGATGTATCTTCTGTTTCGTTCGTGCAGGAGTTGCGCTCAGCAATTTGCTGGCGGGACCGCTTCCCTGCTATCGCCCCTATTCCTCTACAACCCAGCGCATCAATACATCGCAAGCAACCCCCCCGTCGCACACACCCGGCAGCACCCCACTCCCGCGCCCCCCACTCAGCAGCAGTCCACAGACTCCCTCCAGCCCTCCGGTGCCGTCCAGGTGCCCAGTCAGAACGCACCCACTCTCAACCCCGTGGCGCCCCGATTCCCCCTGCTGCCGGTGGCGTCAACGCCGCTGTATGGCGGGCCGGCATCTCGGTTTGCCACCTCACCACCGCCCCCATTCAGATCGCCGTTTGGGGGCAGGGACGGTGCCGCAGCGGCTTCGGCTAGTGCAGTCAACGGCATGCAGCCTACGGTGCCGTCGGGTCCGCTGACAAGCTTCCTCCGTGACCAGGTGTCCAGCCGAGTGACTTCGGCATTGACGGTGACGGGTCAGTCTGTGACGGAGTGGAAGGACAGGGTGGCCATTAACATGCCGGCGATACCAGAGGGCGGCAAGATGTGGAGCAAATTCGCCCATTGGAAGGCATCGGCCGACGACCGAGGGGCAGAGAGGCAGGCTGGCAGAAAGGAATGATTGGCTGGCCGATGAGAGCTAGCTGCTAATTAGCGCGGGTGAGTGATTGTGCTCGGCAATTCAAGTGAGCATATATTAGTTAGAGTGTGTGTCTAAGCCAGCAGCAATTTGCGAGATGACGGTCGCTGCGTGTGTGCATGTGTGTGTGTGGACGTCTGTGTGTGGACGTGCATCCGTCTCTATGTCATATATCATAAAGGCGAATACGCTTTAACTCATGTGCCCACCGGTCCGACAGATGCATGGCAGTTGATTGTCTGACTTGTGTCTCATTCAGAGCGTTCACATTTCACATGCACAGAGAGGAGCAGAAAGGAGGAGCGGCCGGTAGCATGAAGAATACAAGCTATGGATGTCTATTCGTAGCATGTGTTCTAGGACTGTGCCTGGGGGGGTGCCTGTGGGCGAATAAAAGCACCACCACAGCAGCACCATGAATGCCCTTCCTTGACTAACCCCAATACATTGGTGAGACCATAGCAGTGTCATGAATGCCCTTCGCTGACTAGTCCAAAAACATTTCCGAAATCGGAGAAGGGGGATGGGGAGGGGGTGGGATCACCTCCAATGCATAAAATGTGTATGACATCGTCGGCTGACCTCCTTGTAATCCCGTCTCAAATACTCAATGGTAGGAGGAGCTACTTGATATAGCCCGCCGTCGCGTCGCCTTTTTCTTCTTGCCTTTCTCGAAGGGGTGGTAGAGAACAGGCTTGGCAAAGATGCTCGACGTCATTGACGTTGTCGAGATCAGGGCCGCTCGGTAGTTGGCGATGTAATACGGACCGTCACCGTTCTCAACACGTAAATCGTCCAGCAGACGAAAGCCGTGCTGAATCTCGGCCATGAGGAAGTTGGCGAACGTGTAGTGCACGTTTGGGTTGAGACTGAATGCCTCCGCATCACTGAACCCAAGACAGGCACAAAAGGGATGGGTAGGTATTCCCCACTCCGTCTCTCCCTCGGTGCTTACGCGGGGTGACATTCGGCCACCTCTTTTATCAGATAGATAAGATACACCCCAACCTCCTTGGCCGAATACGGCACGGCACCGGAGTCCTTGAGCCGAATTTCCAAGTGCACATGCAGACACGTCCTCGGTGTCATCGACGTTGTCTTTCGGTTCTTCTGCAGTTTCGTGGCGTTCTGACCGAAGAAGCTATCGTTGAGCATTGAGACCTCGTCATAGATGAGGCATTGCATATTGTCCCAGTACTCTTCCTGCTCCGCCGACTCGTTGTCGAGATCCGTCACGCACAGGTCGTCCCTCAATCGCTAGAAAGGCATGAAGGACACGCCCAGCGGACAGGATCCACATCTCGACCGTCCCGATGCGTGTCGAACGGGTGTATGTCTCTGTTGCGTCAGGATCCTTCAGAGTTTTGTACCCAAACGAAGACAGATAAAAATGAAAACCACAAAGAGGCAACGCTAAGTGTTGTTCTCTGTCTCTTCTTTAGTCCCTTACTGCTCTTCATCTGAGTTCTCGCCCTTCTCCATCGCTGGTAGATCTGACAGATCTCCGCTATCGAGCGACAGGGGGATAGGCGCCGGTCACTGTGCGTCGTGTGAGGGAAGACTGTACAGTGTGTCCAGGTAAGAAAAACTTGCACAAAGCAAGAATTCTTGACCTCAGTTTTGCTGGATATAGAACTGGGAGTGCTGCAGCATGCGGCGCTCGAGTGCTTCAACGATGACGAGGATGCTGGCATAGTCGACAGCCGAGAGGGGGTATCCCAACGGGTACATCTCCCGCCACAAGTGGACGAGGGGAATCGTCATCCTTATCATGGCGACGCAACCCTTCTGCAGTCGCCATGGTATGTTGATAATGTGGTAGGTAGGCGAAAGGAGCTGGCGCATGTACGCCGTAGCCATGAGGGGCTCCTTGCCGGACCCTGTGCCCGTGCTGGGGAATCGTGGGTGGCTCGAAATGTCGGCTGGACCATATGTCGCTATCTTAACGCCCAAGCTGTGAAAGGCAGACGTTGCGGCAGGCGTCTACGCGTGGTCCAGGTCTGCAGACAGACACTTTGCATGTATTGTATACATACCGCTGACGCCTCTCAACGTATGTACCTCTCCAACAGCCGACGGAGGGTCTCCGTAATGTACTACTCTGCTTTGTACCGCCCTGCTTTTCGCTGAGTAGTGACATGCGGGACCTCATCTGTGTGAAGGCGTCGAAGTCGGGGTGGCTGCGCATGAGCTTCTCGCAGTGGATGGCGACGACCTCCTTGTATGTAGGGCCGCCGCGTGCTTGGGGCAGCAGCGCCAACCGAGATGCTGGAAGTGGTGGTAGCAGCCGCCGACCGACAGCGCTTGCCTGCAGAGAGACAGACACACACATTCATACCACGCGCGGCGGCGTGCAGACTCTCCTTCACACGTGAGCTCGTGCGGCGCCCACCGCTGCGAGTTACTCACCGCCTGCAGCAGGGACGATAAAGGCGGCCAAGTTCCGCTCGCGTCGCCACGGCCATTCTCGACACGTGTCGGGGGTCTGCATGCGGAGCTGGGGGATGCCCTTGACTCAACAAATAGTGGCTGGGCTGACAATCAGATCGGCTTACACTGGCTGACAATCAGATGGCTGACACTGAACTCCCCTCCCGTCAGTGTGCTCCCCTCCCGTCAGTGCGCAGCCCTGATCCAGAAGGAGAAAAATGCCGACTAGGACAGGTAGCCGATGCCTGGACCAGCTCGCCTTGGTGTGAGTCGTCAGCGATGACCTGCTTGATCGGGAGAATTGATTCAGCCTTCGCCTCCTGTCCAAACGCAAATTCTCGGTCGCGAAGCTGGCCGTCTCGGATCGATTGGCTGCATGCAGTGGATTCATGAGTAGAATGCGTGCTTGCTTGCACTTGACGATGCGTTGCGGCATTTGCACTCGCCCATTCATGATTCATTTCCACCTGCTGCATGGTACCTTGTTTGTGTCTGTGTGTCCTCTTCATGTGTTCACATATAGTGGTTCTCTTATGCATTGCACGGATCCGGCAGTCGGTTCTTGTGTGTCTGCTCTGTCTGACTCCTCGTCACACGATGGTGGACCGCGGGAACGACACGTCCTTCAGCCTACACACGACACGACACGACATCCTTCGATCATCACAAGCCTGTCGGCTGAACTAACCGGAGTGATGGGATTGATGGGACTGGGAAGTCGCTGTCGTGCTGGTACTCCTTCTCGTAACTGGCAACACACACACACACACACACACACACACACATCTGTCTGTCTGTCATGCGTGCACTCACTAGTAGGCGATGGATTTGCGTGCGTCCCTCTCATATCTCCTGCGCTCTTTCCTCTGCCTGGCCAGCTCCCGTGCCTTCTGCATCGCGAGCGAGGGGCCCGGCTTGAACACACCCAGAGGACGATCCGCACCACCACTGCACACACACGGCACACATACATCAACCAGCCATCATTGGTCCCTCTCTGCTCACTTGACGAATGAGTTGTCAGCCACGAATGGCCGGCCGTCGTAGCGCATGAAGTCAAACCGACTCACCGATGAGGCGCGGCCGCCACTCGACTGACGCAGCACCTGCAGCAAGCAACGACACACACACTGTGAATGAGCTGCGGCTGTCTGCTGCGTGTTGTGTGTGTTGGGATACGCACCATGGTGAGACAGAGGAGAAGCAGACAGACGGCCATCGTCACCCGGCAGCCTGGCACCATCATGACGATCGATGGCAGACACAGTACGTTAGCCAATGACTCACTCAGTCGGTCGATCGATTGGCAGATAAAGACGCTCCTTCACTGAGTCAACCGATCCATTACAATTACATGTCCGCATCTGTACGCACACACACGTGTATACGTATACACATATGTACGTAATGTGTCCAAAATGACACACACAGAGAGAAAAATGACGACCGACCATCAGTCGAACGAATTGCACACATGCCAACACACACACGTGTGTTGTCAACAAATACACACAGGTCACTCCGACCAGTGGACGCAGTGATACTGTCAAACGTCCATACTACAAAAGAGCACAACTACCAACAGTGCCTATTTTCCCGCACACACACATGTGCTCACAGCCCACACCCAGTCACTCTCTCATACGTCCGAAAAAGACTCTTGGCTGCCCCCCACCGCCTGGCTGTCATTGCTCCCATACGCCTGTGTGGCGGCAGCCAGCCGTGAATCCTCGCCATCCCCATCACTCTTGAGTGCCGCGCCATTCGCCGTCTCGATCGTTGTGGTGGCCTGGTCGGAGCTGCGGTAGTCAATCCACAGAGTGACGGCCGACTGGCCCGCCAGAGACACAACCACGAGGGACACACCGACAAGCGCCAGGCGGGTGGGCCTCTCGCCTTGGACAGCGAAGAGAAGCAGAGGGCCGAGGACGGTCTCGAGACACATGTACAGCGCCACCTCGGCAGGATGCAGATACCTTCACAGTGGACACCAACAGAGAAAGAATAAGACGGTCGTTCAGATTGTGTCCAGCTGGGAGCTTCCCTGCCCCCTCTCTCGCTCGCTGTACCTGGGTGCAATGTTGACAGCGACGATGGCTACAGGGTAGCAGACACCGCCCATGGCCACGAACCATGCCATCTCCACATAGCTCGGCGAGAAGGGCCGCATGTCGATCCCAACGCACGCCACAATCACCACAGAACACGCCAACGCGTACACGGCAAGCACCCTGGCGTCCACTCGAGGGTGGCGGGTGCCCACGTATCGGATGCCCACCAGGTAGCCCGCAAGAGCCGCCGCAGTCACCAGTGCCAGCACATTGCCCAACACACGGCCGGCGCGAAAGTCAGCCACAAACACCAAAACGATGCCGGTCAGCACGAGCACAATCGCCACGGCCAGGCTGACGGCAATCCGCTCGCCCAGCAGCAGGTAGGCCAGCAAGGCGGCGAAGATCGGGTTGGATGAGTAGATGCCGAGTGCGTTGGCGGCAGTCGTCGACACAATGGCGGAGGGGAAGCACGCCATCGACACGATGAACGGCACGATGCAAAACAGAACCGACGCGCCGCCCTCTGTGAAGGTCGACAGCCGCCGCGATGAGTGCGTGGTCGCCAGCACCACCACCAGAAGCACAGCCGCTGCCAAAGCAGACCGGAAAAATATGATCGTCCATATGCTGAAGTGCTGCACCTGCCTGCACACACACGAACCGAACACAAAAACAGCGACTGCATAAAATGCCTGCTTGTTTTCTTGCTTGTTTGATTGGGCTGACCGCAGTAAGAGTGCGTCGGGCGTGATGGCGATGACGCCAATCAGTACGGTGAGCGTCCGTTTCACCCGGTCAGACAGGCGGACCGATGCGCAGCGACGAACAGTCGCCGGCATCTATCGCCTTATCAACGCCAATCCATTCTCATCCTACACGGTAGACTCGAGATCAGACGCTCTGGTCGCCTTCTCCAGGCTCCCTTCTCATCCTGTATTTTTTTTTCAGAGGGAAGAGATAATTGACAGATGGCATCCATGCACTCGCTTGTCCAAATCGCCTCCATGAATCTATCCACATATGCCTATGCACAAAGGGCACGCTCACTCATCCGATGAGAACACCCCAGCCCCGTCCATCGCCCCAACACCACGCCATGACTGCCTCCCGCCCCTCAAACACAGGCTAGCAGCCCGCACCAATGCAACAGACAAACGAGCACGCAGCCACCCATGCACCCGCCCTCGCCCCCTATCTGACCACCCCTGCCTCGTCAACAGCTGCTCAGTCAAGCGGGTGAAGAAGTG